AAACGTGTGAGTAACACAGGCATTGCATAATTGTGGAATTGCGCATGGATTTAAAGATTGACTGTCTTTCCACTTTCCTTCTTTTGCACATGAGACTTCATGAGCCCATCTCTGAGGGCTTGCTACTGCTTTCAACTCAGAAACAGCCTCCTTTTCGCTATTGCGACTTGGCTGTCGGGCAGCACATCGGTTGGGCAACAAACTTTCCATAGTGATTTGCTCTGGCTTTGTCGGGACCTTCAGGTTACGTGAATTTTTGGGTTGCTGAATCATGGCCTCGATCTGGTTATGCTCACCAACTTGACTGCACAACAATTTGCTCTCCTTCAGTTTAGACGGTAAATTCTCATCAACAGATGCTACAGCAGCAGTTTTTCGCTGCTGTCCATAACTATTCCCGGTCCAAGAAGATGGCAGCTCAGACGATACTAACAAATCCTTTGTGCCGATCTCCACGTTCAAGCAATCCTTCGTGCCGATCTCCACGTTCAAGCAATCCTTCCTGAGAGCCATAAAGTTTCCCGATTCTGAGGAATCAGTTTTTCCCGGTCTTACTGGCTCCTGTTATGGAATGATGCAGATATGCAGAAGCAAAAATTCGTACATGAATTTCTTTATAATGCCACTCTGTAGAAGACCTAACTTCTTTCCGACAAATTGTTCCTGATTAAAGTATAGTATTAGTCGAGCATGTTAAGTGCAGATTGATATAATTGATGAAAAGGTAACAAAAGGCATATTTGACTTGTAGTGACTCGCCAAAATCTTTTAGTATTACATCGTTTAGTTTCGATACATTACATGCGCATTTATCTAACAACACGCATTTAACACAAAGATCACTTTAGAATGACTCTCATTTGGACTCGCTCGCCAACCTGACTAAGAAAAAGTCAACATGCCTAGCACTAATGTCAAGTACAAAAATGCTACTTAAGGCAATATTTCATATGAATAAGGGCTGGGTTTCAAACAATAACTTGTGATTTGACTTTGCAATTCGTAAGGAACGTTAATTGAAAT